TAAGTGCTGATTTTGCTAAGTTTTTTTGGCAAGAGAAAGTGAAAAACAATTGAATCATGAAGGAAAAATAGTGGGTTTTGTTATTTGAAGGAAAAAAAATGAAAATTTGAATTGTCTCCTGGGGTGATGCCAAAGAGGGAAGAAGAAGAAGAAGAAGCCATAATCGAGAAAGAAAATAAGTGCTCTTCACCTCACTTTGTCCAGTTTTAACCAACTTTATCCTTTTTCTAGGTGTGCAGTTTTGTCTTTAAACTCAAATATCCTGTCCTTATTTTCAAGAAAAAGTTAAGATCTGAGGCTTCATCTACTTAGATTTTTGCCCTTTTGCTGATGTTTGCTTGCAGTGGGAAATGATGAAAGGTTTAACAATCCAACAATCACATCCTCTTGTTGACGAAAACATGTCGAATTTGACTTCAGCCTCGGGTGAAGCCAGCTTTTCTTCTTCGACTAATAAAAATGATAATGGTATCATGTACTCACCTCAGTATTTTCCTCATACAACTGATCAGTCTCAGCCTCAAACAGTGAAGAAGAAGAGAAATCAACCAGGCAATCCAGGTTAGTTTAATTGATTATTATATCGATAAGTCACTTATTCTGGGGGAAAGTTAATAATCTTGGTGGTTTTGGAGTAGATCCTGGTGCAGAAGTGATAGCTTTATCACCAAGAACTCTCTTGGCAACCAACAGATTTGTGTGTGAAATTTGCAACAAAGGGTTTCAAAGAGAACAGAATCTTCAACTTCATAGAAGAGGGCATAATTTGCCATGGAAACTGAAGCAAAGAACAAGCAAGGAAGTGAGGAAAAAAGTATATGTTTGCCCAGAAACTACTTGTTTACACCATGATCCATCAAGGGCACTGGGGGATTTGACTGGGATAAAGAAGCATTTTTGTAGAAAACATGGGGAGAAGAAATGGAAATGTGTGAAATGTTCAAAGAAATATGCAGTTAAATCGGATTGGAAAGCCCACTCCAAAACCTGTGGCACTAGGGAGTACAGATGTGACTGTGGAACCCTTTTCTCAAGGTACAATTTAAATCACTTCATTCTAGCAAGAAGGGGTGTGGGTTGAAAAAAAATGTATACAGTTTTAGTTCATCAATATACAAAGTAGCAATTATCAGAAGGGTCATTCTTGATTTTCTTGAAACCATCTTTTTTGGGGAGTAATTATATAGGGAGGATTCAAATTATAAACTGAGAATAGCTAATCTGTGTGTTGATTAAGCCTTGTATCCGATATTCAGCTCGTTTATTAGGATCCATTTCATAATATTCGACAAAATTTTAATGATGCTATTACGCGAGTTTTGGTTGATTTCTTGATTTCTTATGCTATTTTTTGTTATTATTATTATTTTTTTCCAGGAGGGACAGTTTTACAACACACAGGGCCTTTTGTAATGCTTTAACAGAAGAGAGAGCAAAACCAATAACTGGTAACAACAGCATCCAAATCATCACATCTCAAGCAACTTTCTCAACGTCACATATAAACCCACAAGTTTCACCTCAATTCAATGCTCATAATTTCCCATATCCAATAAAAAAAGAGCAACAAATTTTCAGTTCAAGGCCTGAGATTCCACTATGGCTAGCTTCTTGTCCACCAGCACCACAGGGACCTTGTCCAACTTCTGGCTCTGGGCCACCACTCATTGACCTCACCCCATCAATCTTCAACTCTAGACTAGATCAAGAATTTTCTCAGAATCAAAACCCTAACCCTAGTAGTGGCCATGGACCCCCCACTCTACCACCCTACAACCCAGCAGCCTCTCCTCACATTTCAGCCACTACAATGCTGCAG